ACTGAACAAGTAGAAAAGTTACATAGTAAAATAGATAGACTTTTAGTTTGATGACATATTCTAAAATTAATAATAAATATATCAAAGCATTAGAAGAAGTTGGTCAACTAGATAAGGAACCAGTAGGTCTTACAGAATTTACAACATTTGTAGTAAGTAGTAATATCCCTATTAGACAAAATAATTTAATTATCCAATTAATTTTAAATTTAGCCAAAAAAGTAGATCAATTAGAAGAACAAATAACAGAAATTAATCAAGTAGTACACAATACCACTTCTATACTACCCAAAGACTTAGTTGATAAATTAGAAAACTTAACCTTAGGATAGAAGAAAAAGTAGAATAAATCCATTTGATAATAGTACATGGAACTCTTTAGAAGAAAAGGAAAAGAAATAGTTAGAACAGAAGATATATACCTTAGTGAACAAGAAGCACAAGAATTTCTTAGAAAGGGCTTTGAAAAATCTCAGAAAAAGAAATATAATTTATATCAATTAGGAAGATTTGAAAATAGGCATAATATTGTAAGTAGTATCAGTCAACATGAAGTAAATTGTATAGATAAAGAAGTAACTCTTAATTTACTTAGTAATACAGCAATAGAACACCTTAAAAAATCACACTATCAACAAATCCATATAGGAACAATTATGATAGGAATAGCTGGACTCACTAGAGCACAAGTAGGAACCAAAGCACTAGTATACATATATGATGACAGATGGGATAACCATTAGCAAGCAGCTATAGCTACAGCAGAAGTAGATCTTAGTACAAACTTAGCAGTCATAGGATGTATTCCTAATTATGTTATGAATATTAGAGAATTTAGTAAACATATTAAAATTAGCATAAGAACAAAAAATTATAATATGAAAGGTGAGTACAAAAATTTAAGCATCAGTCTTATGTATGTAGGAAAAATTTTAGATACTTATAATTACAAATTTAATGTAGAATTCCAAAATTTAGTACAAACTTTTGGTAGCAAACAAGCTAATATGATAGAGGCAAAACCAGTAGATAATAGTTCTTTAGAAGGAGCAGAATTGATTTTACCTAATTTACAAGTAGCAAAAAATAAACAACCTAATAAAGCACAAATTTTTGAAAATCATATAGGTGAAGCAGTAGTAAGATTTACTAATTATAAACAAATAAATGATATAGAAGACTTAGAAAGTGAATTAGATGAAGAGATACATATGGCATTTGATAACTTAGAAATAAACATGATTGAGCAAAATTTTGATAATATAGTTAATAAACTCATAGATGACATAGATAATTTAGATGAAGAAGAGTATATGGAAAAATATAAAACTTATGAATTAGGATTACATAGATTATCAGATAAAGAAATGAAAGATTTAATTCTAAATATAGGATTAGAACATATTTTAGGAGAAAAAGAATACCAAAATATGTTAATTGAAATATAATGCATGCCAGTAGAAGACCAATATAGTTCATCTGGACCATCTCTGTAACCCCTGCAAGTAGAACAGATCAGCAAAATCTTAGGCAAACTAATGAACCATATAGAGAAAATAATGAAGAAACCGGTAGAAATGCTTTTCAACAAGAAGCATTTGGAATAAGAAAAAATAGAATCCCTTATAAAGGAATTGAACAAATTAGTTTAGCAGGAAATATATTAAATTTAGATCATGTAGACCCACAGGATTGGGAAAAAAACTATAGAAAGATGGGAAAAAGGATGTGTACATGCAGCATTAATGTTAGATTTTAGTAATAATAAAGATATGTTAGATTACTTTGAGCATACTTTAGATGGAATGGTTTTTGATTATTTTCAAGCATGGAAAACTAAAAATCCAATAGAACATCAAGCAGCAAAAGAAATGTTTAATATAGATGCTTTTGTTAAATTAATTAAATATGAATTTTTAGACCATAATAGATTAGATGGTAGAAATGAACAAGAACAAATTAGAGCTATAAGAAATTTAGAACAATTACAAATTTGTGATTTACAATATATTAGTGAATATACTTCAGACTTTTTCAAGTATTTAGGAAGAATAGGTAGAATTGATGATTTTAATATGTTAGATACTTATATGAAAAAAATTAAGGCTCAATAGGAGAAAGAATTTGGAATGAATGGCAGAAGCACCCTAGGAAATTAGATGTATCCATAGGTGCAAGAATACAACATGTATATGATATATTACGATCAGAATGTAGTCAAATAAAAGCAAAAAGACAAATTAGAAAACAGTTTTACATGAGTTGTAAAAATATAGATTTACCAAAACAGTATGGATGTCATAGGAAATTTAGGCAGAAGAAGCCATATAGAAAAAGCTATAGAAAATATAAATCTTATAAACAACAAAATAAAAATTTTAGT